AAAAGGAAAGAAAGAAAGGAAGGAAGACAACATGATAGGAACCATCTGTCAAGGCGGTTACATACGTCACGCATTGTCTTGATAGTGTAGGTTCCTTCCGAGCCATACATGTAAATGGGAAAAGAGGGAGTTGTAAATTCGCTCATGCTATATGATTATCGTCAGCGCTGTAAACGGTGCTAGCGAGAACGCATCGGTAAAATACTCGAGAGAGCCATGGCGCGGGCCCTCATCATGCGAGTCGACCGAAGACACAGAAATGAAGCAAGAAAGAGCAAGACGAGGAGGGTTCGAACTTACAACTGTCTGCACATGCCGCACGGGGACGCTGGAAGGTTACTGTCAGTAGCGACAGCAACAGCTTTGAAGTCATGATATCCAGCGACCTGCAACGATCATCTTGAGTTAGCGGGGAAGTCCCGGGCAATTCACAAGGAGGCTGACGGAGTTCACAACTTACGACAGCAGTACCAAAGGCCACTCGTTCTGCGCATGTGCCAACCGGATAGGAAGCGTTTTCGACATTGGCGCCGACGATGTATTCACCAGACTGGGTGAGAATACATGCTCCAACGCGGAATTTAGAATACGGACCTTTAGATACACTTAGAAACCAAACAGTGCATAGAGCAGTGGCAACGAACGATGAAACTCTATGTGATGCATGAGTTGCGGCTGACTTACAGTAGGCCGTAGCTTTAGCAGCAATCGCCTTGGAGGCAAGGGTCTGGAGTTCCTGGGTAGTAAGAGCAGATTTAGAAGAAGAAGACATGTTTAATAGCGCCTGGAGTATCTCATTTGTCTCAGTGGAAAGGGATGCGACAGGTCAATATGTAAGTTGAGTTATAAAAGAGGGGAGGGGGAGGGGTATGAGTTCGGCCGTGGAAAGAAGCTCCGCTATCAGGACGATGTCGTTCGGCTTGCAGCTAGTACGGCGCATACCCCACTTGCAATTATGCAGTTATCATCGTTTGTGGTGACTGTACTCGTAGATATGAGGTGGGCCAAGATCATGGAACTATGTAGCAATCCATGGCAATCTCCTAAGGAGAGCTTCAGGTTCCGGTGAACGTTTTAATGTATAAAAATGTTCATCGGTCGGTCCATTGTTTCCTTTCTTATAACGAAGATGTGAACTAGCTAAACAAAATATCTAGAACCTGGGTTCAGGAAGAAGGAAGAGAAGGAAAGATTATATGAACATGGAAAAAGGTTTTCGACACTCATGCCAACGCCCAATGGGTTCTCTTGGATATAACAATAATGCAATTGGGGTGTAGGGTTTAAAAAAAAAAAAAAAAAAAAAGAGGAACGAGGCCAGAGGTATCATCCAATATAAGAGAAGAAAGATGTACGTCTAATGTAGAGCAGTTTATCCAAAATAACTCCGTAGTCCTTCGTACACTGTAAAAATGAAGGCTGAACTGGGTGCTGATCGTGCGCAAGTTATCCCGCAGCCTCGGTACAAAGCCTTGAGTCCTTGTTGCTTCCATAGAGCCTTGCCGGCGCCCCAGAAAGTTTGCCGTTGACCATTGATGGAGCCGCGGGTTATATCTTCTGTTTGCATGCGGGATTTAATTGTATCTGCCGGATAGAATAAAAAGTTGTAGCTTATACCAGCTGCTGCTCCAGCAATCATTTGTTGATAAAGCGGGAGAGAAGCCGATTGATTCTCTGAACCGCCTTTCGAAGCGGATGTGGGATATGCGCGGAAAAGCGCCGAGACCCCCTCGTAGCCCCCAAACCAGGCGGCACCTCCACCAGTCTCTCGTATGAGAGTCCCCAGCTGCCCTCGCCAAAATCCTAGGATACCGTCTTGACGGAATATGGTTGCGACCAAAGAGAGTGGACTAGCGGCCCTGGTACTGGAACCTTCCAGAGGTACCTGCATTTTGCACTTGATGAGTTCAACGGGAGTGAGGGCAAGTGAAGTGATGGACCCAGATGCCGCCCCACTGACCAGTAAGGCTGAGAAGGGTAGCGGGTCTGTCGAAGAGTAACATGTTGACTTTAAGATATCTTGGATCATGCGATAGCTCCAGAACAAGCAGCTATTCTCTATGGCAGCACCGGCCATAGGGGCGCTGAGACCTCGATATAACCCTCTAAAGCCATCTGCCTGAAATGACTGCCGAAAGCAGTCTATTGGCCCCTTGTATCGAAGAGGCAGATGGTCGGGTTGAGATTGCAGGCGCACCTTCACCGTGTCAAAGGGGTATTCGATGACCTTTCCAGCCATTCCTGCTGTCTGTAGGTGAATAGTTAACCCAAGCAGCACTCTACTGGGCGCGGTAGGCAGGATTACTTACGGACCCGAACATTATATCCTTAAACGCCTCAACCCCCTGATTGGGGGGAAGTGTAGGGAGCTCCATTGACATATCATTCTTGATTGTGATCGCATGTTCTGCAGCCGCCATGGGAGTAAGGAGGGGAACTACGTCTGATCCAACCAAGAAAACGGGAAAAAAGAGGGGGAGGAATGAGAGCGAGAGAGGTGAAACCCTATCGGCAGGACATTGTATGGCTCCGTGTAGAATCGGAGAGAGAGAGTATTTAAGGTAAGATTTCGGGGCGAGGAGGAGGGGGCGGTGTAGTGTGGTAATCAACGAGGGGTTTCTAAGTCAGCCCGAACCCACGCGCGATAAAATCAGCAAGTGAGCATCGCCTGCAGATGAAAATGAAGCCAAGACGCGGGATTTTTGGAACAGTGGGGAGCTTCTGCAGCAGTGGTGGTGATAATTTCAACTAGAACAACGACCGGGTAAGAATCGTGGCTGGCAAATCCCTCATTGCAGATGTCAAAGTGGGCATCGGGTGAAGACTTCCGCCGAGATCCGTTTATCTGATCGGTCTAAGATAACTTTTTACTCAAAATTTCGAAGGCCGCAAAACGGCCAGTCCCTCCGCCGAGGAAAACCAAAATTATATCAACCGCTTTCCATCTCTCACAGAGCCCCTTTCCGAGTTCCGCTTCTTTGCGCCATTCTACTTGGTGTATTATTTACTTTTTCTGCTGGCCATGTCCTCCACGGTATCGGCCACTCCGGCTGATCCCACAAAGGGTATGCGTAAAAACGGTATGTAATAGATTCTTGCTCCCCACTTATCCCACCCTGCCCTACTAATTTTTCCTGCCTTGGACCCGCAGGAAAAAACTGGCGCGATACCAAAAAGCCGTTCCGTCCTAACGCTGGTCTGACCTCGTACGAAAAGAGATTGGAAGCTCGCAAGCATCAGGAAGCTGTTAAAGAACACGAAAGAGAACTCAAAGAAGAGAAGGAGGCCGAACGGAAGGTATGCGGAACGATGGTCTTTGAGCATTGAGAGCTTTTATGTGCGAGCTATCTGACATTGTTGCACAGGCGCATATCCAGAGAATCAAGGAGCGTAGGGCTGCAAAGGAGGAGAAGGAACGCTACGAGAAGATGGCGGAGAAGATGCATCGCAAACGTGTCGAACGATTGAAGCGTAAGGAAAAGCGCAACAAATTGCTCAACTCGTAACTGTGGTGGGAAAAAAAATCTTCTTGGTTTCTTCATTTCCTTTTCCTTTCTACCCCCCTACCCTCCTCCTACTACTACTATTATCATCGTCTTTTTTACGCCCTATCATCATCGTCGTCGCGTTTATGGTTTGTTCGGCGTGCATGGCGGGTAATTCGCTCTTTCCTTTTAATTTGCCGCGGTCTTAAATTTGGTTCTCGGGCAATACAAAGACAGTGCTTACGGTGCAAGTCATTGATTGGACGGCAATACAAGGAGTTGGGCGTATGATAATTGTGATACTTGCTGTTTCACTCACTAGTTTTTGTTCGGGTCCCCTGATATGTACAGTTAGACGGGACTAGATATAGGTGATCAGATTTGTCATCTCTATTTCCTAGAAATGTTTTCGTGTGTGACCATCGAACTAGTATAAATGAGGCCCGTTGATCCCTTCCGAAATTCTAAGAGACATTAAGACACACCAGCTAAAGGCAAGCGTCGATCAGTCTTGGCGTGGTGTTCCGCATAATCACATAGATAGTGTGATGTTGTGGGCGACACATAGAAGTATACTTTCTCACACTCCGTACTATCTTTACTTTCTGGCCAAGGAAACAGGGGCGGAGGAGACGCAAAAAAAAGAGGGAAACAAAAAAAAAAAAAGGAAATAAAAAAGAAATGGAGTCTTCACTGAGAAACTCTTTGCCCGCGTTGCTGTCGCCATCCAGACAGCTCTCCGCTTCTCACCCTTTCACTACCCATGGCTCTAGTACCGCCGGAAACCACAAACCCACTCTCACTCCCACTCAGGTCCCGTCCGACGCCGATGGACCGTTTGCAGACTCCAGAGACGGTGATTATGTTGCCTGGAACAGCAGCCGAGAACCGCCAGTTCTCCAACCCCATTATGACCGTAAGGATCGCGAAAACGCTTCAGGGGCACCTCGAGAAAAACATCACCGTCATTTGGCCTTCGACCCTACCAGCCTAGATCCTACCAAATTCAGGCCACGTCATAAGCATAAGCATAGGAAATCCCGTGACGGGCGATTCCCACGAATAATGAACCCTATCGCCTCCTCCGCTAGTGCCAGGGGCTTGCTGCCCCAATGGTCTGGTGGTCGCGAGAAGGAAAGCGATCCCGACGATGGACTTGCATTACTTAGACCCGTGACAAGGGAGACAACTCGGTCGCGCTGGGGATCTGAATCTACCACGGGACTCGGTACTGGTAGCAGGAAAGGCAGTATACTCGATGAAATTGACCGGAACAATCACCTGGGTCTGATCAGACGACAGGAGGTACGCTCGCTAGACGATTTAGAGCAAGTGAGAGAGAAGAGAAAACAAGGGGAACGGTAGGTAATTTTCTGCCCTGTTCGTTCCGATTGATCTAACGGGCTCGCTGGCAGCTACCTACGATCCGCTTTAACGATAATCGGCACACTTGCAACAGATATCACCCGCAGGCTCGATTATACTTACTATAATTTGTTGGAGAAGCTCGCCGCTCTCCACGTCACGATCGCTTCTTTCCAAGAACTCTCGGATTCGACATCGACACTCTTCACAGACTTTGAACGAGAGACCACGAATCTGGATCAGGACATTCGAAAGCAAATCGGGGACCTCAGAGATTTTCAGCCGCAGATGCAGAAGATCGAGGCCTTGGAAGAGCGTATGAAAGCGGGAAGAATGAGGGCTGAAGCGCTTAGCTGTAGGCTCCAAGAGATGCGGAAAGAAATTGACCGCTGGGAGAGAAAAGAGGCAGAGTGCCAAATACGAATCAGTCGCCGCCTCCGTATATGTTGGGGTTTGATTATGGCAGGATTTCTCACTCTCGCCGTAGCTCTTATTGTCCAGAACTGGATATTCCTGGAGTCGCCGGAGTCTGACATGGCGTGGCAAGCAGCGACCGTGACAAACGGCTCTACTGGAGCCCTTGTGCACGAGCAGGAGAGTGAGAATCATTGGCTGGCCACAGATATTCCTGGAGATAGCTATGCGCTATATCAATATCCATCGAAGCTAATCTCTCGTCACGATACCCGCTACACTACTGACCCGGCAACCTGGACTTCTGCTAATCCTGAGGATGCGAGGGCTACTGACCAAGATCCATTGAGAATATTCGACGAGCTCTGACAGGCGATATTCCCAAAGTCCTAAAGCTCAGCGTGATCCACCTTTCTTGTCAAGGCCAGCCTTGAATTCCTTTGACAACCTATCGAGACTTTTGTATACTATTGACATGATACCCAATATGCAACACTGAACTTGTACATTATGCGTCTACGCCGTCAACCAAAGATAGTTCATCATTGGCTAACTGCCTCCCTTCTTTTTCTTGTCCTCAATGATTTCAATATTCGCTTCCGGTATTTTCTCCCCATAGACCTCCAATAACCAGACTTGGACATCATCGCTCACGTCACCCTGTACTGTAATTTCCTCATTCCCCGCGGCAGACCTTGTCACTGAAGAACCTGTTGCAAATTTCTTGCCAAGATCCTTGGCAACCTTCTTATTTTCCAGACCATATACTTCCAAGCCTGCGATGACCGTAACGTGCTTGCGTTTATTCCGTTCAACACGCTTGATTTGAACCTTGGAGGCCGCCTTGCGCTCTGCGTCGCGTGCTTCTGCCAAAGCAGCTTTTGCCTCCTTCTTAGCAGCGTCCTTCGCTGCACGCTCCTGGGCAGATATAGAAAGTGTCGATAAATTAGCGCTGATGACTTCTGCAAAGGAACGCAATCCTATTAGTCTGTTCTTCACTACACTATGCTGGAGTGATGTTTTGCTGTACCTTCAGAGTGGAGTCGTTGGTATAGTTCCGGTTGCTTCTCTTTCAGCCATTCTTCGCATTTCTTCGCCGTCCCACCAAACTCACAGTACTAGGATAATTGAAGTCAGTCAAACTGCAAGTTGTGGTGTTTCCTGCCCAACCACCGGTGCGGGGCGAATCCACCAAAAAAAAGCGAAGGATAGAAAAGGAAAAAGAAGAGAGCTCGAGAATTCAAGATCTTATTACGGCAAATGAAGAGATTTCATACCTCCGGGGGGAGGGTGCAAACTGTAAATCGAACAAGTCAGTGATATCTATTCACAATCCCTGCATTGCATCACGCAGAGTAAAAGAGGCGACTCACCCCCGCAATATACGACATGGCGGGCCTGAGATTCAACGGGGCCAGATTGCACTACTTCGGCCATTCTAAAGAGTGGCTATTGGGTTTTCTTGGACTTCTCTGGTTGTATGGGCAGTAAAATAATTTGTTTACCGGTAGAATCGATTATCGAAACCCAAGCCCAGAGTACGCGATATCACCGCGGGGTTGGCCGCCAGTTGCACTAAACTGCTTATAGTATAGACCCGCTTCCGGATCAGGTGATTCCGGGTTTACTGGCTGCCCTGGTTATGCTACAGTTGGTCAAAGGACTCACATCAAAGAGCTTTGGCTCGTTGCAAGAGTTGGCGCTGTTGGACTTGGACCTGCTGGATTCTGATAGTATCCCTGGGCAACCTCTTGGTACAAGGAAAATGACTGAGAATCGCAGAAAAGGGTGGCTTGTGATTTGGAAAAAGAAAATTTGCAAAGGAGGGTGATTTTGAGACTGATCGTGTTGCTCACGTTCGCATGGTTCACGACGATCTGCCGTTTTCGGCTCGATCGCCCCTATCTAGACTAATATTCTAGTACCTTATTCTGGTCTGATTATTGTGTGTATCGGCTTGCACTGCCTTCTTCTACCTGGTTGGAAGATCCTTGTTGCCGCTGAGCCTCTATGACTCGTATAGAACGGGTCTCCAAAACTGTAGAAATGGCTTGGAAGATGACAGTTGTTTAATCCAACGTTTGAGTGGCTTTGCTAATTCGTTCCAAGGCTTCACCCGAATGGTCCTCCTTGCTTCACCGACTTAACATTAAAATGCCGATGATATCGTGTGGCCTCCCGAATAAAGCAGCCCTCAAGCCCTTCCTCTTTACTCCATCAAGGACCCCTTGATAAATTTCGTTAGCATCCATGGACACTGCAGATGAATGCTTATTGAATGTACTTATCCAACACTTTGAGATATGAACCCTTAATCTTGAAGCTGGGGATACGCAATTTGGGCGTGACACAACTACCGATATATGGGTCCTAATGGCTTACAAGGCTACTTATGTATATTTATTCTTAGACCAAGTCTAGACCGTACCCTCCGCCTTCCCCTTCTATTGCATAATTTGCTCTCGTAGTACTACTAAGCATGATAACGCTATCTATATTACTACAAGATCATCGAAGTGATCACTAATTGAGCATGCATAGCTGCGTCAACCCAAACGAGCTATGTGGTGGCTACTAGTACTTGGTAGGATGAGTTTAACTACCCGCCTTGTTTTAGATTAGCTGCTTCCCCTCCACGGATTAATGAGACGTCCGGTTCTTTGATATCAAATCATGGACGCTGCTCAGGAGACAAATGTCCATTGTTTCCTTTCCCGGATTGAAAGCCGGCAAAGGGAGGAATTATTGAAGAGAAACGGGGTTTGACGATTTTCTGAATCGAAATTACTGCCAATGACCAGAATATCTCCGTTTCCTCTTGACATATATCTCTTCTATCAAGCTTTGTAATATTATTCTTGACAGATGTATCTTATCCACTAATGCACTCCCTTGAAACTTCTGCTACAGCAGCACAATTCATCCGCCAAGAGGAGGAAATCTTAGCATCTGGGTAGATTCATTTCTCAGAAGGCTTATAGGCTGTGGACAAGACAACCAGAAATCCACGGAGGGTTTTGGAAAAGAGGGTTCTCCCACGAATCTTACAGGGGAAAGGTGAGGGGCGCAACAAGAACCCGAAATTATCAAAGAGTGGATCGAGAAAGGATTGATATTGAACAAGTTGACCAAAGCATTGCCTGAATCGATTAACTGGAGGGCTTATAGCAGTGCAGCAGGTATATAGGAAGCAGGCATTCTAAGATTTATGGTAACCTTACAATCGCACATGGTCCGGGCCTAGGTTAGAAAAACCAGCTATTTCTAAAGCGAGGTCTATGCTTATACTAAAAGATATCCAACAAGAGGGGTTACATCATGTCTTGAATTACTTCAGCTTGAGCCACACTTAAAGAGAGACACCTGGGCAGAACCACTACCGTTGATACTTAGGTGCTATAGACTTCTGAATTGGGATCAAATCCCCATAGCTACTGCATTACAGCATTTCTGCCCTAATTGCTTAACATTCAGAGTCCTAGCCAGCCAGGAGCCTCTGATGAGACTAGTGGGCCCGCACATTTTCTGCCTAGAGTTAGATCAGTCTAGTAACTGCTATATCTGTCCCCAAAGGCGAAATACGTCTGGAGGCTAGCTACTCCCGCCTGACTCCTGGCTCGCACTGGTCATTAGATGAGTTATAAATTTGTGTAATGATTAGCAATAGCTATTTGATGAAGGCATATATGGTATGTTAGCGATATGAACCTCGAGATATGCATCTTTTGATGAAGGAGGAGGTTGCAATAAGAATTAACCACCTTTTATCAAGGGTGAGAGAAAGCACGGTTGTTTTAAGCTAGGATTGGTCCCATGAAAAGTGAGCTGCGAGCCATTTGGGGTGTGATAGGACCGGTGGGCTTTTGGTCTAGACTGTTGTATCTAGAATCGGGATCGAATGGGTCCCCAAAGGTCGAGCCACACACTTGTTAATACCCGCTACACAGTAGTGAGTCCGGCTGGCTATGCTAAGGAAAGGAAGGAAGCCAATAAATTTCCAAGCGGGATTTCCTCAGCCAAGGGGGAACAACATGAGTTGGTAGGCTGTAGAACAATTTCGGGGCTGCCATGACACAGGACTTCTCCGCGTCTGATCCTTTCCGTTCACAATCAAAATTCACCCAGGTGAACAGCTGGCAAACCTTAGAGGTCAATGTGTGAGCCATCTTAAGCGGGAAAGGTTAACAAGGAAGGAATGCAGGAGCACGGGCACCAGTTTCTGGACTCAGAACCACCGTGCCGGGCTTAGGCGCTGTCAGTGCTTCGGTGAGTTGACACACTCCTTCCACCTGTTAGACCAACCCGATGATTAAAAGGCCGCGCGGACCGTTACTAGTACATTTGCCTAGGTTATATATTACTTGAGTGTACAACGCATGCTGTTCGCGCATTGATCTGGGACGATAATGGCTAGGTAGCTAAATGATCAATGAACAACTGATGAGCCAATTCATTATCCAAGTCGATATCTTATTTAATTGCGTATATTCGCCCTAGTTACAAACACAATCTATGTGCGTCTGGGTATGGGTGTACATACAAAGTCGGGGGGTGTTAGTTTGCTTGTGCAGAGGTGCCTCACACTAGGACATTGATACTAAGATAGTGCTGGTAAGATGATCGACAAACGTTTGTGTTTAGACTGACACAGACACTCACCTCATCATGACCCACTAGACTAACAGTACTACTACTACTACTAGTTAGTTAGTTAGTATCTACCATCGACATAGGACTCCGTACTTTAGCCAGCCATTGCTGCAAGTGGAGTCAAGAACGAGGTTGCACTGAACCAGATTAATGGGCCAATTAGGAAGGGGGTGGACTGGTACAGCCTCTTAAGAGCTTCGAGTGATGTGAATGAATGAAAGACAAATATCTTTGTCTTGGTGATTCTAGCCATCCCATTCTCCTGCCAAACTGACGTAGCAAGGCCCCAATGTTGCGTTATCTACGGTAGACCAATGCGCACGGGCGAAAGTACTGAATACGATTTACTTCATTCTCTGTTACTAACATCCGGTCTTCCGAAGCAATTCCCTAGCACTTGGATTTCTTGAGAGCACCCCCGAAAATAAATAAATAATTAATTAAATAAATAATAATAATAATAATAATAATAAAGATGATGACGAAGAAGAAGAACAAGGGAAGAGAAAACAAAAGTCAATAGTTTCAATTTTAGGAATCGAAGCACTCCTTGTCGGAGAATTTATGTACCTTTGAAATTGATTGACCATTTTAATCATATCGGTCTGACATGCATTAATTAACGATAGTAGTACTTCATCCACCCCCACCTCCTGTTTCTCATCGCCCTTAGGACTTTTCGACATGATCGAGAGGGACTCGAAGCAGAGAGCATTTTCATATTTGAGAGAAGGAACGAACGGAGAAGAATTCTAGAATTAAAAAGGAAAAAAAAAAAAAAAAAAAAGGAAACGGGGGTGACAATGGCTGATGATGACTCGGATGTCCTCAAATTGTACAGGTTACTTACTGTCCATTGCCACTTCGTCTGCGTTTCCTCGGCTCGACAAACTTTGACATGGAGAGGCCTTTTACCTGTTACCTAAAAGAGGAAGTCTGTTTGTCCATCACTAAAGATAGTAAAGAAATGACTAGTGGAGCGATTAGCAGCGCTCGGATCCTCGAGCCTAGATTTGAACCTATCGGTGGTATGCATGTACTGTAATCCAGGGTAGATAAAGTGTGTTCGAATGAGAGTGATTGTCGGTAAATAACTATCCCATTGACGGTACAAGAATGAGAAAGATTTAACATCATATGAGAGATATCCATGTTCTTTGCCACCACCCGAAGAATTGTATCGGGAAGATCAGGGTCGTCCTTTGGTTTTTTTATTTTTATCCTTTCCCGAGTGCAGTGGCTTAATTACCTATCTAGTAACTACGTCGTAGTAAGTCGTTGTAGTACTATATGTATGTATCTGCGGCTTGTCAATCTGCAGCGCCCGTGCATCCGGACGCCCACTTATTTTCTCTTTCATCTTATAATGTTCGGGTATTTAAATGACGTTCCGTGTTGCTCCGAAGGGATGGAAAAAAAAAAAAAAAAAAAAAAAAAAGGGTCGTGCAAATATCAAAAGATGCGACTATGGAGTAAACTAATCAAACAACTACTAAGAGGTATTTTGAACGAAAAAGACCCCTCTAAAGAGAAGGACTCCAATATTTTAACTTCCGTCTAATCAGTGGCTAGGCCGTTTGACCGGTACTCGGAATGAACGTAAGAGGTTCAGTTTATCTCAAAAGCTGACGATCTGGAATCTGAAGTTTCTGAACTATCCAACACGCCCCTGCAGCAATCAACAATTCTCCTCCTTTCCTTCTTTCTTCCTTTCATTTTATTTTTATTTTAATTTTTCTGTGTGAGAAAAGCAAAATATATCTAAGATATAACCATAGCACTCCCACAAGAAGCCGGGGAAAAGGAAAAGGATAATCAAGCTATCGACAGTACCACATCTGTTGAACAAGAAAGCGATTTACCAATGACATTATAGATTCACTATCATGCGTTCCAGACAAATAACCGCCAAGTTAGGTGTAGACCCTAAGGCTAAGGTTGGTGGTGCAACGCACGTCCCATTTTGCCATCAATACGGGTTATAGATTGGGGGAGGGGCAAAGAGAACCAAAAAAGTCTCAGGGAGAAAAAAAAAAAAAAATTTAATAATAATAAATAAATAAAGAAAAATAAAATAAATAGGTATAGATACTTATACGGAGATATACCTATAGATGATTAAGAAAAAAAATAAATAAATAAATCATGAGTAATTGATATACACACACGAAACAAGAATATGTATAGGAAGGATGATCCGCAGTAGAAGGGAAGTCTAAAATACCGAACTAAGAGGATCTAGACAATGTTCTATTGAGGTTCACACAGGAGTCTGGAGGTTTCTCCATGGGGTTTGATCAAGTTGTTGTTGAATGACGAGAAATCCAAAAAGGTCTGGACGGCTAAACTCCACCTTTGGAGGTGTGGTTTAAAAGAGGGGGCACAAATCACTGTTTTCGCGGTGGAGCCCCAGTCCATCTGTGCTCCAGCCAATAATTTCTTTCCATTCCACCGTTCAGGCGCATTGGTCATAAAATACCAACCCTGTAAATTTACGAGGAGTAAGTTTAACTCGTCCCTGGTGGCAACCTTGCCTTGTTCTTTTTCTTTTTTCTTTTCTCATTTTTCTCTAGTCTCACTCTGCGTATGTACAGTACCTTTATAGGTACTTCCATTCCCTTCCATCTCACTCTCGATACCTTGTTATATACTACTACTACTACTACTATGTATGTATGTATGCATGTATGTACATTCAAGCACATCATTTCACCAAATCTTGTCATTGAACTTCTTCCGCCTTATCGGTCCCAATTAAAGTAGGTTCTTCTACTACCTACCTACATTACTAGGTGGTATTACTTCATTGGGTTGAAAGCTTGTCAGATCGCCGCTTCCGCTTGGAATGATATAATAAGATCACTACATCATTCTTCCTTTTATCTTGAATCTCCTTTCCCGTGAGTACTTCGATTCTCTTTTTGAGATTTAGGATTTTTTTTTTCTTTCCCTGCCATTCCCCTTTCAATGATTTCATAAATATATATATTTTTTTCTGACTAGGACAGACTGGGACACAGAATAAATTACAATCTCATACATACATTCCTTACTTGGACGGATCTTCCCCCAAAAGGTCTTACCCAAAAGGCCCGCTGATACCTTGGAAATCTTAAAAAAGGCACCCTCTCATTCATCGAGCTTGCTGTCCCGAGCCATATCTATCTTTGAGCTATTCTTGATCTCATCTTCCGGATACGTGCTCTCTCCGCCCCATTAGGTCTACGCCATTTTTCCTCTCTAAAATGCTCTTCTGATCCTGAAACCTTTTTTATCTTGTCGATCTCTCGTTCTTCGTCGAGTGCCTCTGTACAGCCTGATCCACTTGACAATCCTCTGGCAATACTCCCTTTTATTCTCCCCTCATATAATCCAATAGCCTATTTGGCGAAAGAAGCAACGAGAAAGGGCAAAGAACAAGGCTGAGTTATTCCGGAATACATTAACTCCAATGATTATCATTTCCCCGTGAAGATGGCTGCCGTGCTTCACGCCTCACAGGAGAGGCACACGCAACTTTCCCCCGATCCTCTACGGTGCCCTATCGCTCAAAGATACTTCTTGGAAGACTCGGATGTGATCACAGTAAAGTCGCCCGCCAATGATTACCACCCAAGAGATTGTCCGAGCCCAATTGTATCCTCGGCGCTTTCTCCATTTCCTCATTCTCCCGATTTCGTCGGAACGGCTCCTGGTCATCTACCAACTCCTGCAACCCTTAGTAGTCTATCATTCTGTGTACGTGATGGGCAGGATGAAGAAGAAGATGATGATGATGATGATGAAGGAGAAGATGGCGTTGATGAGATAATACTGCCCTCATATGACGCAGGCCCAGGCGTCCCGAAGTTACCTGAAGCTCCTAGCGAAGCCTCGACAGAGTCATCAATGGACCTCCACCGTGTAAACTTGCCGAGACCGGCCGACGACAGTTCGATTGAAGAAGAGCCATCGAGACATGTTGATTACCTCGCCCATGAGTGGAAGGAGGAGGATATATGGGCCTCTTGGCGATATGTGGTTGCTCGACGAGAAATATACGATCATGGCGTGAGGCTAGAGAATGCGTCATGGAGGACTTGGGCAAAGCTGAAGCTTAACCGGGGAACAGTATCGCCGGAAACCCTCAACTGGTTAGTGCTTCAACCGGCTTTCCCTTCTCTTCCCTCCCTTTGATTTCTGTGTTTAACCATATGCGTCCAGGCTAAAGGACTACGACGTGACCTGGTTGTATGGCCCGTTAAAGTCGTGTAGGAAGCGCAAGACTGTCTCCAACGTCTCGCCACCCCCAAGCCGCCTTGAAACGCCTACGGATAGAAAGCCGATACTCAAGAAGAGGACGGCTTCTGAAACAATACTGCAGCGTTCCTTGTCGCAGCATACTCTCCTACAGCATGCGGGCGCCATTTTGAAGGCACAGGAAGCGGAGGTCAGCCGGAATCGACCGTCCTTTTATCGTTATTCGTCAAACCTGGGACAATCATTCAGTCAGTCTTCTGAGGCTTATTCGCGAACATCCTGCACTGCCACGCCAATCAACGGCTCCTCGGGAACAGGCTCACCCTGCGAAAAGCGTCATATCCATTTCAACAACGAAGTAGTGCAGTGTATTGCAGTGGAGGCAAAAGACGATTATGATGACGATTGGCCCGCAATGAACGACGACTCATCTTCGGAGGATGGCGTTGTTATGATGAGACACGGCTCATGGCAAACATTGACAAGCGAGAGGAGTACTACTCCGCGAAGCAGCTTTAGCAGTGACAACAGGACCATTGCACCACTCCCATCTACCACACTGAAGTATCGGGGAGACACTCCGGAGCCACCGGTGAATTCAATACTCAATCGATGGTCCGGTTACTTTTCATCGTACTCCACTTCTCCCTCTGTTGAGACAAGTCAAGCCTCAGAGCCGGCGGCGAACTTCTTTCTGGACGAAGCGGACAACGATCTAGATTTCAATTGGGAGCCGACTCAAAGATTACACGATTCGACGAATTGTAGTCGACCATGGTTTGTTAACCCTGAGGACGATGCGGAACTTGACCGACATTGTCTTTCATCTTCGGGAGTTTCATACGATGACGTGGAACCCGCCAATGCTAGTATTTTTGATCGAGTGGTTGATACTGTCAACACCGCTAAAGACATCGCGCATGTAATATGGAATGTGGGCTGGCGGCGATAATTGGCCTTATACCTGCCAACTCCAGGAGAACGACGATCATTTGACGCTGACGTCCTCTCCTACGCGGGATATTTCTTTTGCTTTCTCTCTCTTTTACATGGACTTCGGATGGCTAGGCTGGTATCCTATGGCTATTTCGGGGATGCGATACACTGGCTGTTGGCGTTTACAGCGATTTTCTTCGCCCCCTCATCCTTTTTCTTTTTTCCCTGTCTCTGTGTCCCTCTAATCTTCTGAAAACAAGCGGGGGTTGGGCGTTCTTCGGAGCATATAACGGTCTATGCGCGGCAATTGCTTCATTTCTGTCTTACAGGGAGGGCTATTTTCTGGATAAAGAAAGCTGTTATTTGTCTTTTGTACTTTTCATTTGTTTTCTTTCTCATTACCACTAGGCCCTGGGGCTACTTTGATTTGTTCCTCCTTAAACCGTGGGAGACCCTGATACATGATTAATGACCAATATATACAGAAGAATTCTATGCGTAAATGTGATGTTCTAGGATATAAAGTTTGAAACAAAGGGTGATTGACCGAGTAGCAAGCTTTAATGAGGACGGGATGGGATTGACCCAAGAACCATATCTTCAACCCGTGGATCATGTCTCTTCTTTGTCCAATCGAGGGCCCTGCTGCTATTGTCCCGTTACCCTGATATATGGGTCGTACTAGTAGTTTCCTTTTCATGTTTGGACACCCTCATGCTGGGATCTGTTGAAATGTCCAGCACCCTTTTCAGGGGATCTGGAAAAGCATCGAGAGGTTCAGAGCATATTCGGTTGTCCAAATGATCTGATTAAGTAAAGGCGTGGGGTACTCATGGTGTCGACTGCTCTCAGCTTATTGCTGGCTTACTTACGTTGTCCTCCGAAGCGCTCGGGCGCGTTCATTCAAGGTTTCCACACCCTCCGGGCAACCAGGCCACACCCTTCATGGAATGGATAGAATTCTGGTCGTTCTCAAGATAGGTACCACAAGAGAAAGTCCTCGTGCACGTTTACACCGCGCTGAAATGTGTACCGCAATGTGTTGTGATTTTCAGACTATGAGGAGATGATGTGCTGCGAACCGTGCGGGAGGAGACCAAGAACACAGACCCTGACTTTGCCCTTTACAACCGCCTACGGGTGCGGGGGGCGCTAGGGGCTTTTGGCCGATGACAGGAATGACGATGTCAATGGACCCTTGCGGATACCAGGCAAACCCGAGATGAGGCTTGGTAAATGGGACATTGTGCTCATCTTGCATGAAGCATGTTTAGTTCGGCTCGGTGCTAAGTGGCCCGTCTTTATTGAAGCTGATTCATAAGTTGTATGGCCGAATCTGATTGCGTGACTGTCGCAGCCGAATCACACTCGCCCGCACTACAGGAGGGGATTTGCCTTGAGTCTCTCAGCATCGCGCGGAGCAGCCGATAGAGGTGGACAAGGTCACTGCGAATAATTGGGCGGGGGACCATGTGTTAGATGAAGTCCTCTATGATGTGGATACTTCATTGCTTCGCCCATGCTCTCGACAGCGCGGGTATGGGATTTTGACCCTTTTTCTGAAAGCTATAGTTGAAAGCCATAGTACCATCCAGTGGTATCGTACCACCAAATGACTCCCGAAGTCTTCAAGCTCATGTGGCATTTCGCGCAACAATGATTTGAAAGTGTAAGTTACTAGTTCGAGGAGATCCACCTTAGGAGATCAACTCGTGTATCTTGTTGGGACGACTATACTGCTGGAGATTGCGCAAGGAAATGTGATCGAGACCCGCGCTGCTTACAGTTTTCATCCGGCGATAGGTTTGTAACATACATCTGAGATCAACGGTACCTCTTCTACTTTATGTTCCTAAAAATGGACCATCTTCATGATACAACCTGAATAGGAAGGACTGCTTGGGGTGCATACAGGTCATGCCAATACGGATCTATACAAACCCTGCTTTAATGTAAGAGCAAATTTCTAAGTTGTCGCAAATCCCACTATAGGCACGTCTATGACAGTCACATGTTATGTTGCTTGCAATACAGAGTATCAGAGTTTTGGGTCTACACTATATAGGCTGAATATTGAATGAGTATGTTGCTATATTTAGGATAATGAGAAAAGACGAGACACTAACCAATGGGTATCTTGAGATTATACTTGGAAACTAGGAAACGATGTCGTAGGTTGCAGCCGTTGTGTCAGGAAAGAAGATGAGCAACACTGACACGGCTCGGTCAAGGCGGAGATGAAGATTGGAGGAAAACCCGCTCCTAGAAGACTTATTTACCCACCATGACAAAGAGAGCCCGAGGTCTTAACTTTCCATCGCATCTTCGGAGGATTCTTGAAACGTTTCTGGGAAGAAACCCGGCGGAGGCCAAATATCTGCGATCGAAGGGGGGTGAACTAAAGGTTGAGAGCCCGCAAGACGATCCGGATCGTGGCAGAAGGCCTGAAACGTAGAGTCATCAAGGAAGCCAAAATCTTTCAAGCCCGCTTCGCGACTGGTGGCCCATTCAGTGGTATCGAGATATGCCAGATCTTTGAAGATAGAATCTAGATCGCTAGTTGGGATTTGGCGCTCGGGGCTACCCGAAGTTTCGGCGTTAAGGTCCATTGTGTGTGCGGAAGATATAGAATGATCATTGATAGGGTTCATACCGGACATTATTGTGTTCGATACCGAGGAGTCGGGTGTGGGTGGATTATGATGCGCAGGTTGAAGTAGCGCATCGAGGCTATTCGAAGGATTGGACTTCTCTGGAAGCGCCGTCGCTTGGTTCATCTGCTGGTACTGGGGTTGAAGCGGCACATCTCTCGAGGGTTCCGTACTCTCCATTTCTGTGTCCTTCGGCGTCATATATTGCCCATCCACTGGAATGCTGATGCCCAGAATGGAAGAGGTATAGTCGTAATCCATCATGTGTGAGGGGTTCACCCTGACGCGTTGCATTGATGTCTCGCTATTTGTACCTCGATAACCTTCTGTGATATCGGGACCATATGAGTTGGTAGGCCCATCGAGGGCAACTGTCGGTAAGTTGTCTCTTGATCTTTGGAAAGTGGCCGGCGAATACGCTGAAAACTCCTTGGACTGACACCATTGTTCAATATTTGCAGTCAACGAACGATAAACGGGCCAAGAGGAGGAGAGCTCCTTCGTCCGCTGAAGAAGAGCTTCAGCCCATCGTTCGAAGGGGAAAGCATCGGATTCAACATTATTGCGCAATGTAAATGCCTGTTTGGAAATTGTATGCAAGGAAACCTCGAAAATTGGAGGCAGGCCGCATATACGAAAGTTATCAAGATGCTGTGATATCATTGGTAGAACTCTATATAGTAGTTTCTTAGCCCCCTCAATAGCAGGCCGTTGGGCACGGTGCAGCCCGAGTTCTTGGGGAGCAATGCGCAAATAAAGCCATAACAGTGTGGCTATGTAGGTTAAACCGAGGTATGTCTGATGCGGGAGCAAAGCCGAGTGCCGTTCTGGATAGATACTTTCGGGGCCAATAAGCCGGCAACCAAGCGGTAGGCGATCGTCCCATTGTTTGAGCTCCAGCACTAGCTGCTGCGAAAAAGCGTGTGTATTATGTCGGACTGCAGTATCTTGAGCGATCTTGTTCAATACACTAGCCAGCTCAACTAGGCGGTTGAAGCAACTTAGGGCGAGAAGAGGACCACGCCGGGGGGGATTCTTCGCTTGCCCTGCTCCGGTGGCCGGTAGAACATCCGCCCATGAGTTCCATTCTTCCAAGCCGTCTTCTTCTAACAAGCCCACAGTGGCAAGGTCCCGTGGCTGCATGTAAGGTCTTCGGGACAGACGAAATGATAACAAAGAGTCGATAACAAAGCACCCAAGAAAGACTGCTTTGCCTTGCCTCAATTCATCAGATCGTCGAACGTCTGTAGTTGTGCCAAGGGCCATGGAAATAGCCATGCGGACTGCCTGACCAGTCAGCAGCCAAGCGGCAGTCCATTTCTCAAGTCCGATGTTCACCAACACCAGCAGGAGAAGTGCCTGCACATGCCCTAGCTCATAGTGCTCCACTTCTGAAGGAATCAAGCGCCAGGCAACCGCATAATACTCCTTTGTTTTAGCAAGCAGCTTGGATGATCTATTCTGTGGGTTTGTCTGTGATTGCGAGGTTGTATAACTGATGAGGGCCCACAGCGCAGCATGGTCGCCAGATCCTGGGACCGCCTGCGTAATGGACACCGGCGCTGTTGCGTAGAGGTAAGATGCCCGGAGGATATTGTGTTTTGCTACGATCGGGAACCAAGAGTGGGTGACAGCAAAATACACGTCCAGCAATTGCGAGGTTTGAGGTGGTAGTTGTAAGTCAGGACATCCATTGGTAGTGGTAAGAGAGGAAGATTGACTAGCAGTTGGAAGAGCTAATCGGGCTTTTTTAGCGCGAGGCGAAGAAGCAGAGGGCTCCACAACACGAGGGCCGTCAGAAGGTAGAGGATTTGGGCCGCGATCTATGCGAAACCCCCATTCATTCCCCGAAGCTTCTTGTTCCTCTCGCGGACGCTTGCCGGAACTTTGTAACGTCAGCGTATCAGAACTGGACAACATTTTTTCAAGAGCGCCATAGAGGCGGCTCGTCTTCCAGGATTCATGGAGTGTTTCCGATGCGCCATCATCGCCCCAGAGACGCATAAGCCTATCTCTCCGGCCTGCCGACTCGGCTGTAGTCCCCAACAGTGAGAGCATTGTGTCCTCAAAGCCCTCAATGTTACATATCGAAAGAGCCCAGAGCTTTTCCAGACCCCGAACATAACCTTCAGGCAGTCCGCGCTTCTTTGCATGAGGATCGTATGAGCATGTTTGGCCTGAAGCCTGGCACGCGGAGCAAGCGGGACGCAGGCCGTCGCATTTGTCCTAAAGTACATTGTCATCGTGTCAGAATCGCTGTCATCTTACAAATATTGCACCGAGTAACAGTATGAATCAATCTAACGAGATTCCCAATCCAAGCCTAGAAGACAGCAAAATTGACGAATCTGGTGTTGACGAAGGGGGGAAGGGGGATTGTTGGCATGATATGATAGTATGATAGAGCAACGAAGAGTAATATCTCGGGTGACGATACCCCGAGGGACCAACCAACCTTTTTACTGCGACACCTGTCACAGGCTCTGGAGACCCTCTTGCGCCGAGGAGCTCTTGGATCGGGGCCCTCATCCATTGGAGAGGGATTAC